GTTTCGGTCACGCGTTGACTGTTGATCCATATCGGCTTTGCTTGCCTTTTGGAGTACCTCACCGTTTGTCGAAAACCGTTGAGGTTTGTACTTTTGTATTCCGTGTAACTACTTTCATTTTTTATAGTACAGCACATTTGCGTAGCCATTCGTTCGGAGTTTTGCCGGTTTGGTTGCTAACCTTGGTGCTCGTTGCTCAAGAATTCGAAACAGTCGTTACAATCATTACTTCCCTCATTATCACACTGCCCTTTCCCTGCGTGCATTCGAAATTTATTCGATGTCCTATCCAGGAGAAAAGAAGCAATGTTCAATCGGGAAATGACTCTTTCCTGGCCCACCACAATCATTTCAATGCACCTACGGCCATTGCCATAACGCTGGCGAAAATGGTGACGAGCACTTCAGCAGCATTTATACAGACATACTTTCCACACGCTTCTATCCAGTGACAGCGGGAATAAGGCAGTTTCCATCTTAGAGAACGAGTTATACTGGTAGCATTCAGACATTCCATAATCTCGTTCTTATCTGTCGGCGGTGGCAGAGGCGAAACTGGTTAGAAGATCAGTCAGAAATTTCTGACATCCAACTAATTGTTCTGATATTTTCGGGTCGCCGGACGGTCATGATTGCTGAGTTTCCATAAATTTTCTACATGATTGAAAACAAAGTTGTCATTGACGATGATTTTTGTGGTGGTGGCGGCGGTGATGAATATGCAGTTGCGATCTTAAATGTCTGTGTAAGAATAATCACCAGTATCATACATCATTCAAGAAAACTGTTGCCGTGAACGAGACCGGTCAGGGATACAACTTGACCGAGTTCGATGCAAGCTAAACTGATCCAGAAATGAAATATCACACTATGTTACGCCATGTGGTCTATTTGTATTCTGAGGTTAAGTTTGGGAATGGGAAGACAATTGTTCGTTGCCGGAAGCGTCAAATATTGTGTTACTGTGAAAGTAACATACCAAGAGGTACATGTTTTCAGATTGACAGCTAAAGAGGCGCCAGCATCGATGTGAAAGACAAAAGGGGGTGTTGAGCGGCATACGTCTGCACCGCGTGTCTTTACCTTCCGGAAGACAAGACAAGACCTTGGACCGAGTGTCGGTAGTTTTTGCCGACTACCAGACACAAGCATCCACTGTCAACGAAAAATCTGCACTTTCTGGGAGGGTATGGCTAGCTCATTGGAAAAACGAAAAAACTCATGTATTCTTAATCGGTAATCCAGGCATACGAGTACTCGCTCTTTAGGCATTCCTCGGCTCGCTTATCATTACAAACTGCAGGCCAGCTTGCTTCATCCTCTTCGAGTCTAGTTGTTGCGTAGACTGCAGTTTGTTTTGGGGGGTTCAAAAAAGGAAACGAGTAGATCACTATCAAGCAAGGGCGGAATAGTGAGCTATATTGTCAACTACCTGAAACTGTAACTCACAGATCTTGTGAAGCCCCAAGAAGCCGAAAACCAACACACTAATCAGAATGTCGCCGAAAAATCTTCGACAGAGCACCATGATTTTCACGCTTCCTGGTATCGATCAGGAGGGCACAGTCTTCGAATTTCTATCAACGATAATCACTCCTTGAAATCAGACTGGAGAGAGCACGCCAAACACTGTTGGGTCAGGCCGTTCAAATTACATCAGTGTGTAGATACACAATATGATTTTTCTCTGTTAAAACCCACATCAGACAAGAACGGTCACGTCACTTATATTATACGCGTTGTGTGATTCGTGAAATTGTAGCTTTGTATAGAAGACTCACGATCCATTCGTAGTTTACAAATATGAATCCACCTGGGAATGATGTTTGCTGCAAACTGTCGCCAAATATCACAGATGTTGCACCGATATTAGAGTGACATCGTCCAACCAGCGTAAACTAGCTCAGCAACAGAGGTGGCGCTCATCAATGATGTTTGGATGCTGTTTACTATCCGGGTATAAGGATCTTGCAGATGGCCAGGTACCAAACAAGGATCACAGGATAACAAGCATAAACCATGCTTCGAACTTCTTGTTGTACTGGACAGTGCAGTATTTTACCCATATGTGAAGGAAATTCTGGATGATATTTCACAGGATCCTCACGAGTGCTAGCCAAACAAAGTACGTTACTTACTTGCCACATTTGAAGGAAGAATATCCTGAAACATAGAGTCAGATTTGCAAGCATCAATGTATACCATCATTGGCTTGTGCATTTTGATTTTATACATGTAGAACAGGATCTCGTTGAACTCTGCGGCATCGAGCTGTCGCATGACAAACAAGAAAATTTGTATGAGCTCGAACGATAACATCTGAAAGAGTATTGAGTATTTGGAAAAAAACCTCACCGTGATCATTTGAAAGACTACCTTTGAATGCCTTTTGTTCGATCCTCCTTATATTAAAGCTGATCACCGTGTTCAGTGTCTTCGTATTCTTGAAATTTCTGCGCCACCATGTCCTGTGTAGTGTTCATAATCTATCCCAGTGACATCCAATAAGCTGCTTTGACCAATGTTAGTCTGAATTAAGTTGCATTCACAAATTCGTAATAATGAGCTGCCGGTTTGAATGAATGGTTTTCATATCACTCCGGGTGTCAATTCCATGGCCACTTTCAACCAATTCTACAGCCCTTCCGCCGTGATGGATTTGATATATGGAACTGGAGCATACATTTTATGCTGCTCGTTGAGAAGCGAAATGCCGTGCTGTATGTGAAGCCAATGTATCGAGGGAATTCTGGCGCACATTTAGGTTGCTTTCCATTGAACTGAGAAAAATTGAATGTTATTTCACTACTAACACACGTAATTAATACAAAATGAACAATAATTCGCACGGCGAATGGATTTCATATGTGAGTTGTCACTCCTGGAGCAAGTAACCCGTGATGTGGTTCCTTTGATTGAAAGAGAAGCGACGTCATATCATGACTAACTGCGGACAAACCAGGCTGTCGGGTTGCAACACAAGTGATGAGTCTCAGTAAGGAAGGAACAGGTGCACATTGCTTCCCGGCTTTTCATCACAGATGACACTGTTATAATTAGTATAAGAGGACCTAATAAACTACCATAGATTCGAACTGTCTCCAGAGAAGCAAAAGTGCCGAACTTGGTAGAATGAGAGACGTCCGAACATAGGAGCTTCTTTTCCATTCTTCGGTAAATGTGTAGGCCAGCTGTTACAAACATCTCGGTTTTATGAGTATTCACAGGTGGCAGTACGCCTCTTCGCTCCGTTCACAATATAGCCCCCTTTTGAAAAGTTTTTGCTATAACCCGTTGTTTCCAAAATTAAGAAAACTTACTTCTTCTGGAAAGGAAATATAGTAAACCGGACCATGGCCAGAGTAATAAATGAAACCGTTGTCATCAGGACCGATGCGAGGTAACGGGAAGTTTAAGGTGTTCTTGAAGACTAGATTATTGGATAGCGCTCTCGTGAATAGGAAAGCACAACAAAACGGCTGCGAAGATGGAAATTCGAGTGTAATATTCCCGAAGAATATGGCTTTTGGCATAAGTTGCAGAGGCCAGATTGTAACGTAAACGGCCTGGTCTAGCTAAATTAACTTCCACCATTGTTTTTCGCATGGCCACATGAATACGAGAATGAAAAATTGATTTTCCGCAGCCTGTTGTTTTGCTGCTGTATCACGCGATTTAGTAGCTTCTTTGGCTCTTAATACATTAAGGTGCTTGAAGGCAGTTTTCCATTCTAGTTAGTTTGCTCATCTGGCCTTTGGAATGGTGGCACTCAGCTCTTTCGCAATCACGCTTTCAGCAGCATAATTAAATTCCTGTATGAAAAGTTCCCAGCGGTAAGAGAAACGATATTCAATTCCAGGTGAGATAAAACTATTTTTCGAACATGGACATCCATCAAGAAGCAATATGTTCCATTTGTTGCTCGTACAACAAGTGGATGCTCATATGTTCTCCGTTCCTGATGACCGGTTTGCAGATGTTCCGTCACCAGTTGAATTGACATCATGGGCTGACAATTTTTTTCATACCTGCTCCATATTATTTGTTGATCAAGAGTTGTATTCCCGGAATATGCGGAAAGACATATTCTGTATGAAAATAAAGTTGATATATATGATCTGTGTTCTTCGAACTGGAGTATTTTGTGTCCAGAGACCATTTATTCATGGTCTGCTTGATCGGCTACCGATATCTGTTGTGTCACGGTCTCCTTCCTCACATTAGTTTGGCTCTCAATCCGACTTCGGTGATTTGTAGTTCATTTTGATTTGTTCCTTCTGATTTGCTTTTGTGCTGCAGCCTGATTTTTCGGTGTTTGTTAAAGTGAAGGCTTATTCTGTTAGTAACACTGTTTTTATCTTGTAACGAACTCAATCGCCCTTGATTACCTATTATAATGACTATGCTTCTTTCCCTATAGCAACACCGCCATCGCATATCCATAGAGTGAATAACTAACTGAAAGAGAGATTTGTGATTTATAAGAAGATAAATGTTTTCCTGGTATCCAGGCTTGCATTTGTAAGCCGACGCTCTACTTCTCGTCAACTGCGTGACAAAATCGTTGAAAGATTCTCAAAAGATGAAATATGATGTCATCAATCCACATTGAACATTAGGCGAGGCAGGTAGTCTAAAAGCTGCGTGTGTTATCGGTGAATGGCCACACGGAATTGAGGGACTACAATCCAACTAATCGACTCGACTGGGATGTCGATTATCCATTATTCATGTTTGAGAAAGCGTCTGAAGTTGTACAAGACGGAGCATATATTTGGTTATCCACAACTGAGCATACCTGCATATTTGTAAACCCCGATAACAGTGGCGATTGCTGCCTATGATATAATAATAACCCACATTCCTCTTGTAGTAAAACAATGCTTTTTGACTGCCTTCTCGGAGCTTTACTTAAAGAGATGCTGGACCACATGACCTAGATATAACACAGATAATACAGACTAACAGATAATAAGAAAACGCTGGCTTGGCTGTGATCAGCAAGTTCTTCAGCAATGTATTTTTCATCGCGAACTCACCTTTTCAACGCCTTCTTGCCTTCTTATCGCCTTTCAATACTCTCGCGAAAATATCCGTTCCGACGTTTTGAAACAAATAAACACGCAAAACCATTTATTTCTGTTACATTGGTGTTCTCCACACGTATTCTACTTGCAGTAACCATCAATTTATGGTCTTGCAAATTAAGAGAAATCTAGGATCTCCTCTATCTCTTCCCTCATATTAATTTCACTACGGTCGCTGAATGATGAAAACTGAACACTTGATTGTTTCTGCGTTTGCCGGGCATGGCAGTTAGACTAGCAGGTTGCTAAGATGAACTCTGATTGAAATCAATAACCAATTCGGATTCAATGCCCACCGAATGCTATTTGCTAATGGCGAATCCTGGATGCACCACCATCTCCAGAAGATAGTCGACGCATACGCATCATCAACCACACTCTGTATCTGTTTTCGTGTAGTGATACACGCTCAACACCATTGATGTTTCTTTTGGCAAAAACACTACCTTGGAGGGCTAAGTCGAAGACTGTGTAGATGCCGTTATATCACAGAGCTTACTTGATAGAGCGCATTCAGAATTTTGCACTTGGTATTGGACTGCTTGAGATTTCTCTATCACCTTATGCCTAATGTTTGTTTGAACAAGTTTATCGTTTTATAATGTGGTAAAACTGGTTACTGTGCCCTACGGTTACTGTGATGCTTCTATACGCAGTGTCGTGTTATATGCGCCCTGCAGCACTTAGTGAACAAATTCATTTTTTTGGTGAGCATTGACATACTTTTCCGAGGTAGTCAATAATCACACCCTTGTAAACATCTTCGTGCTCATAGTCATTGAAAACTTGGCCCTTGGACGGATTCTTGGAATGAATGAATGATAATTGGCAATGCGTTTTTTTTTAAAAAGTCAAATAAGAAGTAAAATAATCGTAGCTTCCGTTCTAATTTGGTTTCCGGTCCTGTTTTCGAATGAATTTTCACGGCGATGTGTGCAATATGTGGCACACTCTTGATTAAGTCTTAACTGATGCATAGATGACACAATGGTCCATGTGGGTAGACAACATAGAACACTACAATCTGTGGGAAGAATAATTTTTATGTAAATATACAGCCAAACACCACTAGTAATATATTATATGAGCATATCATCACTCAGTGCTCTTGGATGTGATTTGATTGGGCAGCCATCAAGCAATAAACAAACTTTCATGTTTTTTTAGTGTTAGCGCCGCTGATCCTAAAAGTCTGCTGTATTATACAATAAAAAGTCTACTAGATTTTCCTCATAATTAGTACTCCAATCATCAGCCCGCTGATGTGTGAATAATTTCATACTACTGGCATTCACCACGAAGATGTAACATAATGAGTGCAATTTGACCTGGGTACAATTGTGTTGATTGCATCAGGGTTATATGGCGTTTGGTGAATTGGAATGTCATGAGAGTGTAAATTTATGATGTATCTTGAGTACCCCTCAAGAACACACAGTTTTCTAGAACCCATTACGATTCGTGATTTACCTCCGCAATGTTTACGACTCAGAAATGCGAACATTGAAAATCAAATACAGAAAAGCGATCTCTATAGTGTAATTAGTAACATATGGCAAACATGATATGTGAAATTTACATGGGATTGTTTGCAATATCATCGTAGACAAAGGTAATTATATTCTTTGCTGGAATTTTGCTTGCATGCAAGACATGCTAGGCGTGAAAAACATTCGCCTGAAAGAAAACACAAATGACAGGTGAGTGAGATAGCAGGAAGAGTGGGGCACAGAGGATAAGGAGGGCGAGCGGAGTGTCTATTATCATGCTTACTTGGTGGAGTATCAGTTCATTCGGAAGTATTTGGATGCATTATTCTTGTCCAACAATTTGAACATATCTTACTCATGTGTGATCCTGGTAATTAACATTTTAAAAATAATTGATAAGATAAGATTATTGATAATGTGGGCACGGCAACCGACTATTTAAAAGTTTGGCTGCTCCGGAGCTGGAATAAATTGATTGGGAATTTAGATGGAGATATATTTGTTTAACTGGTGCCAACCTCTACCGGAACGTTCAGGTTCACTACACAACTCATTCAGCGTTGTTGAGGATAATCTTTATTACGCATTTCACGCTTCTCAGTAGAGGCTCAACCATTTTCCACAATCGGCTGTTTAGCTGAATGATTAGTAGCGGTCCAACCAATCACAATGGGCACGCGGGTTGACGGGAATTTCCTCAAGAAATGAATGTAACTTCGATTAAGTGTGATACTCTATATGTGTCTTCGATTAATCTAGGACCTGGTCGTTGTGATCGGGTTATGCCGACTGGAGCTCAGCTTTCAATAGGTTCACTCATGCCAGAATGGTCAAGAGGGCCAGTCGGACGAGCTGAAATCTGAAGTAAACTGAACTGAACTGAGCTGAACCGATTTCAACTGACCGCAGTCAGCTCTATTATGCCGCTTTCGATCTCGGTATATCCACCTTCCATCGGATAAGAGATCCTATTGCATAACTCTTCGGATTGTTTCAAATTCAGATTTACCTACATAAAATCTCGCCATTCATGAATCGCCCTGGTGATTACGGGCTTAGATATAAACTCGCTCCGGAAGCCGGTCCACAACCTCCTGAACTAACGAACACCACATTGCGGGATGAGGGCTCATTTATCAGAAAACAGTGAGGACGCTAGTGATGTGAGTACTCTTCTGCATTTAAAATTAAATTAAAGCCCCACTCGAAACAAAAAAAATCAATCTGGATTGGAGGTCACAATGCCGGCCCACTGCAATCATTCGGATGCGCCTCCAGCCCAAGACGCTCACTCGAGTAATGTGAGAAAATTTTGGACATCCAACAAATAGTTTGGTTATTTTTGGGCCACCGTACCGTCGTGAATGCCGAATTTCCACAAACCTTTTTCATGCTTGAAAACCAACTCGACAGTGGTTCTGTCGGTGATGATGGCGATGATGGTAATCTGTCATTTGCAGCCTGAACTCTCTGGAGAAGTTTTATCACCAGTCCCATAAGAAGTGCCGCACAACTGAAGAAAATTATTTCGGAGTACGTAGCTCTGTGCAAGCTAAATCAAACCACAGTTGAAACATCATACTTTGTTGCACCGCATATTCTATCTGTAGTCTGCGGTTAATTGCTTGGTTGAGTGGACAAGTTAACGTTGATGGAACTGTTAAATAATATGCTGCCGAGTAAGCAACATGCTGCGAGGTATTCCCTTACCTTAATGATAGCTGGTTAGGCGCAAGGATCGATGCGCAAGAACGCGGGGGTTTTGAGCAGAATGCATCTGCATAGCGTGTGAGCAAGGAGTTCCAGAAGCCAAAACAACGTTAAACGTCATTTAGATCTAGTGATTACTCGGGCGGTTATGTACTTGGATGTCCGCTTGGAAAAATTTCCACCACATCAGCCCCCACACAATGCTTTCTTCATATACCTCAAACGAGTTTTTTGTAGGAAATTGTAGATGACGAATAAACTGTCAGCATTGCAACTTAATTCGTTGCACGTTTGGTGAAAATGAAAAATATATTGTCAAAACTGTTTCGCTGCATTGGGTCTGTCAGTTTTTTCGTACTGCACATAAGTCAAAATTGCTCCAGCCATTGCTGAAAATATTCGTGATGACCGCTCGAGGCCGCTTTACATATGATATTGTAAATAACAAATAATTTTTGCATAAAGTGGTATAAACTCAGTGCTAAATTTTATCCCGAAAGTAGATTGCCGATTCTCTCTGAAGTAAATGCCTCAAGTGTAGGAACACGTTGCGTACACAGTGCTGTTCCCACAGTCGTCAATCTCCATCATCATCCAATGTCATCAGGGGGAAACGTTCGCCCAGGTAAAAAACAATGGAACGAGATTTTACATCACACTTCTCTTAGAGATTAAACACCCTCCTGAAAGAACGTCGAAGCTGCCGAGCACACGGGCATTCACATAAACAGGCTCAACTTATCACCGAAGAACAAATCCCAGTGCGATATGCAGTGAGAGCGGCCCGCAATGCACATATATTTGAATTACAAGCACCAACGGCCCCACTCAAGTATCCTGCGTGTCAGTAGACCGATGATTCTCACTTCCGCACATATTGGCCCCAATTAAACCCGTATGCGCATATCGCCTGAACACATCCTCGTAGGTATCCCACATACTGAGCTAACATCTGCATTACAGGATCATTTCAAATAAGAGAAATTTGACTTAACAAGGGCCTGACAGTTTATGGGTCCCAACAACCCACTTAACAGTGTATATGTCACACCGATAGAGCCGCTCATATGAGGCTGGTCATCGGGTAGAATTGATTCATGTTGTGGGTTGGATTTACTCCTCTGATTATCTGCACAATATACCACCAACCTGGAAACCCACTAGTTCATCTAGGCTCCTGTGATAAAAGCCTAAATGGAAGACACCAAATGACCTTCATTTAATCCCCGGGTGTTCCGCTGCAGCGGCCTATAATACTGACGAGTCATGCGAGTAGCCTGTAGTATTCTCAAAGCACCGCACATCGTATACTGCGGAACTGCTTTACGGTGTCCGTATAAAATGTCGTAATCTCGAAGCTCTTAGGACTCTTAAGAATGTTCGTTCGCGAAAACTATGAACAAATGAAACGCTTACTCTTGTGTTCAATGATTTTAAATCCTTAGTTTGTCTCCGAATAAACGACGTCGCACTGAAGACAATTCCTCCTCAAATTGGTATTATCACAGCCGAGTTACAAGTGCGGAGTACCCACCTACAAATAATGTCTAGTCACATCGGCCGCGATGGTGTCATTAACCCGACTAGCTTGTTTGTTGTATCCCGGAAAGCGAGTAAGCGAAAACGACGACTACTGAGTCATTCCGTCCTTTTATTTCGTGTATTCGGTATTCTCGCTTTCCTTATCCAGGAGCTGATGACATCCAAATTTGACCATTTCCAATAACTGAAGGAGCGTATGCCTTCCATTATCGTCAGCTGCGAAATCCACGGTCAACTCGTTCGCCACAGCCTTAGGTGTTTAAAAAAATTCCTCAGTTCGTCTATCAATCCTAATTGCCTGCGCTCTAAAGAAGCTGGACTGCATCCTTGTTCGCTGGGCACGCTTCTTGTTTTTCTGAAATGAGGATGTAATGCCCCATCGTGGTTGCTGCACTGATCAAGTCACGGGTTTCCGCTGGCTCCCAACTTCGCTCCTCTGGTGGTTAAAGAGGCGCTGTTACTGGTTACACTGGGGTTGATATTGCTCCAGGTTACCGCACTGATGGTATCTTTGAAGAAAACCTTCGGGCATAATTAGAAATTAACAAGCCCATACATTTTTGTGGTTATCAAAGACATGAATGCACAAGTAGGCAGACTTGGGGCATCCGCGACTCCTTTTGATGGGTCCAGGGCCGGATTCAAAATGAATGGGTAATGCCAGACGCCTGAAATAGTTACGTGTTGAAGATGGGCGCAAGCAACCTCAGAAAAAAAAGAAGCACTTTCACCATATAATGCACCTTCACACAAACTAACTGGCAGAACAGACAGACTACAAGGACATTAGCTATACGTGGCGTCACACATCCTGTAACACCTGCGAAAACCCGGATTAAACGCTTGTTTGTTGGCGATTTTCTTGCACAAGTGCTGTACTTGGATAATGCGTACACTTCCGCTGACCCCTGAGAAGTCTTTCAAACCTAAGGTTAAACAAGCCTACCAGATCCACTATTGACGACCTACCAGACAAGGCGACGTTTGATGCTAATTTGAACTGGAAGGTGCTACCTGCAAGATGTTGAGCACTACGCTTGTGGAATGGTCAACAAACTAGATCCAAGTATTGTATCTTGTCCAGCCCTCTAACGTCGTTCGAAACTTGGGCAAGCTTGCTTCTATGTGGCGAGCACAATAACACTCCACGAAATTCTTGCAATAAAAAACACCTGCATGGGTTGATAATCGTTGTGGACTAAAGAGGTGCAGGAAGCACGGAAGTCTTTCCTGCTTATACTTCCCCTATGCCAGGTACTACGTGCAACAGTCTCAAGGAGGCATTCCATGAGCCAAACAATCACTGGTACATGACCATTCATTAGATTAAACATTTTCAACAAATAATCCACTGAATAACTGCATCTTCTTCACTGGGTTCATGACACTGAACGTGACAACTCTTAAGGCTTTGCCAATAATCGGTTGCATGTTATGGGTTGTTGATCAGGTGGCTGTTGATCTGTTCGCTGAGCTTGGCAATTGGCTTGCAAACGTTTCGTCAACATACGAGGAGACATGATGAGTGCGCAGTTGAGTCGGTACTTCTTCCTTGCCTGCGTGCGCTTATATAGCACCCGAAGGCTATCCGTTATTTTTTGACGTGATTGGCTACTTAAAGTGCAACAAATGTGGTGAATCTATGGTTCCATTTGTGACCTTTGTTGCGTTGGGGTCTGCGTTCCGTCGTGTCGATTGGTTAGCCTCACGCCTTTTATTTTTAATAGTTTGCTCCCTCCGGACTCGGTTTATATAGTGTTGTCGTCTGACGTTCTTGGGTTTGATTGGTTGCTTGTGCCGCCTTATTTACTCCACCGGAGTGGTCAGTGTCCCTTCGTCCGTCGGTTGATTTGATGATCTGATTGGGCACTTCTTTCAATCCAATTGATGTGTCAGTTTGAACGATGTTTTCCTCCTTCACTTATGATTTCCTCGTTTGGTTGATTTTGTAGCTTTAAACTCGGTGGTTCTGGAGTTCTCTCGTTCTTAGTGGCTGGTAAGTGGGAACAATTTCGATATGTTTGTTGATGGCCTCTTGGGTGGAGCACCATGCTTCCATAAATTCGCGTTCGTTTTTTGTTCTTGCTTGAGCCAATATGCAGACGCCGCTCTAGTCGAACTCCTGTCCTTCCTGATTTTTGTGAGCGGAGATGAGGGAGAACTGATCGTGACTCTTAGTGGCGAGCTTGTGTTAATGCATTCTGGAAGAGAGCGTCCTTCCTCTCTGTCCTACATACCATTTGTCGCAGTCCTTGATTTGGATCATGCATATGAGATTGTTCTTCGCCGTTGGATCTAATTTCCCTTTTGGTTTTGATAGTGTCCTCCTTAGAGTGCTCGCAGGTTTGTAAGTGAACACTATATTGTGCTGTCGTAAGAGCCTTGCGGAGTTCTTGATGTACGGGAGTGTGACTCGCTTACTTGCTTACTTACCTGTTGCATCGATCGTATTCGGCTTTCTGAGTGTTCTCCAGATGAAATCCCTCGGGTATCCATTTTTCTGAAACAATCTGTAAAGGCGCTTTTCTTCTGTGATCTTGGATTCTGTTGTGCAACAGTGTGTCTCGATTCGCTTGAAAAGTGTCCGAGTACAGCTATGTTTGTGGCAATTTGGATGGTTGCTGTGGTGGCTGAGGATTTGGTCCGTATGTGTCGCCTTTCTGTAGAACTCAGTTTGTAGCTGTCCGTTCGGCAATCTAGCGACAAGGACTTCCGGGAACGCCAGTTTTCCGTTGTTTTCTACCTCCGTTGTGAAGGTGATTTCGTCAAAGACATTGTTTAGCAGTTGGATTACTCGTTGCAGTTCGCTTCTTTTGATGATCACGAATGTATCGTCCATATTTTAGGATTTATATCGGGCAACACGATTTGTTCCAATTTTTGCACTGTCACTTCTGCAATGAATCCTGAAATCGGCGATCCCATCGATGTCCCTCTGAGGTGTTCATAATATTCTCCGTTGAACTCAAAATGTGTGATCAGGCATAAGTCGACTAATCTGCGGAGGTCTTCCTTCTCCAGCGATCCAGTTGCCGTGCCGTTGTTGTCCAATAATTCGGCTACAGTTGTCTTGGCTGAATCGAGATCTACAGACGTGAAAATTAAGCCCACTTCAAAGGAAACCATTACATCGTCCTGATCAAAGCTTACGTGATTTGATTCTCCGAGAGTTGTCCTGAATTGTTGATTGAGTGTTGCGACCCACTGATGAGATGTTTTAACCTTTTCCATAGTTCTTTCGAAAGATTGTAGGTTGCTGTGAGGTATTGATTCTTTTTGTACCTTTGGGAGTCCGTAGAAGCGGGGAGGGGCCGAATCACGAGCTCTCTTTCACCAATATTCCTCTTTTGTAATCTTGTGGAGATCTTGGAGTTGCTTCAAGTTCTTATTGATTTTGCTTGCTAGCTGGTTGCTTTGGTCGCGTTCCAAGCGGCGGTACGTGGTTGTGTCGTTAAATAGTGCCTTTGCTTTATTGATGCGGTCCGGTTTGTCCATGATCACTGTTTGGCGTCCCTTGTCTGCCGGTAGAATCACGATGTTTTCATCCTTCTTCAACTTGTTCATTGCTTCTTTCCCTCTGCCGGAAACCACGTTGATTTGCATGTGATGGCTGGGACGACACATTGAAGTAGTAGATGCTGTGCATTTTTGTCCAGTCCAGGAGATTTCATCGCTGTTCTAGGTTGGGTTAAATACTCCAGGTTTCTCGCACCTTTGAAGTTGAAATTAAGTCCTTTGACGAGAACATTTTGTTCAGCTTCCGTCAAATGCCTTTTGGACAGATTCCTTATCCACGCTTCATTGTGATTACTTTCGGAGTCCTGGTTCCTAATCAGCCTTGCGAATTTGCAATCTAGATGAGGCTTCTTGTTTTTAGCAGTAGATGAAACTCTTCGTTCTAACGTAATGCTAAGTTGCGCCATGAGATCTGGTCCCATTGTGCTCAAGCAGGCTTCCCTATGTTCTTTGGCTATTCTCCCGTATTTTCTAATGCGGTTGTGAGCGCCTCTAATCATAAGTCTGACCATTCGTTTACCATTCTCTCTAGCTATTACCCAAGATTTTGGATGGTTTATTGGCTGTCGGTAGAAAGGATGTGCTGTACATGTTGTGTTGCAGGCTGTTTTTCAGGAGATATCAAGGAATCACTCCGACAAAGCACGGCATTGAAATACACTGTCATTGTTTGTCTAACTGACTTGCTATTCCCGGGCGGAAGGTACAGTCTAAAAAAGCTGAGTTCTTTCGATGGGGCCTTCACTGAGCGTATCTCTCACCGTTGTGACTAGAATGGTTTCTGTGTCTACTTCGTGTCGTTATACGAAGAAATTCGAACACAGGGCCTAAGAACAGGAAGAGGGATTCCAGACTTCCAGGGGTTTTGTGGATCACAGATTCAAATATCGTCAGGCGTCAGAACGATATGCGTACCCACTGAATCCTGTTACTGCATACAGGCACATTCAATAAGGGTAACCATTTTGCGCGTGGACTGATGAATTTAATCAGGACGGTGTTCCGTATGTTTATATCAGAAAGTTGCTCAATCTTACCAAGTAGTTTAGAATTATTTCCTCATAATGCATGAACATTGCGGTGCGCTCAGAATCGATCTGTACAGCGTAACAACTAATGTCGCCGAAATGACAGTGGTGTTTGTTTAGATTTCTCAGGCTTGTTTTGTTAAACAATTCACAGTATTTTACGGTACTGTGGAGTCTAGTAGCGTTTCTCTGATTTGATTAAGCCCCGATGCGAGATTGGGTGATTTGTGATGGCTCGAATATAATCGAACTCCTAGAGTTTCCTTATTTTATGCAAGAACATAGCTTCTACTCGCAGGCAGTCATTTTATCCAACACGACTCAACATAAAACACTTGCGGTGGCGATGTTTGCCTCCGACTTAAGTGAATCATGGTATGCTATTTTATGCTATTATAGGCCAGGGAAATCGACCGCACACGGAGCAGAATATTGTAGCACGACAGGGAAATGCTGTCGAAAAAGAAAACACGTCACGTAATCTGTCTCTTTTAGTTGGCACCTATTCACTAACCGTTTCATTGGAAAACCGCAGCGACGAATGAAATTAAGTAGGAGACAACTGTTGGGGAACTATCATTGTAAATATCCACCTTGAAAAACCCTCCCGAGTGGTCTCCAGAAAAAAAGCTTTTGAGCATCAAACCAACGAAATATCAACGGAAACTTACTTGATGCCGATAATTTTCACAGGCGCTGGAACCAGCGACAAGGACAACCTTGTTACGGCTTGTGTTGTGGTTAAATATGGATGTTATATTTCGGACACGGTCGGTGAAGAATAGGAACGCAATAAGAATCGAACAACGGCGATTTACGTCCAGGTGTCCAGACTTACTTGAATCTTGATCTGTCTGTAATTTTATACAGTGCATCTCCTGTAAATCAATTACGCCTCACACATGAATGGCGATGGGTTGAAAAAGCTGTCCACCACAAATCTAGAGGGACTGGGGTACAAAGTTTCTGCTAACCAGGGTATCATCTACAAATTTTATCAGTGTGTTCAGTGGCTGATCATTTGCGCAATATTTAAAAAAATCTGTGCACATTGCTGGTTTGTGGAGTTTTCTAGGCCAAAAGTGGATCGTTCCGTTGAGCACTTATGCGCCCCAGACAGTACAGAGCAACACAATGAGTCCACAAAAGGTTCCAAGTAGAACCTGGCTTCATACGTACATTTGCAGGTAATATTGTCTCACCGGGATATTGATTTGCTTGTTGTATTCAAAACCATCCGTCAATTTTATGTTTACTCTAGGTCAATTTGAAATTTGACGAATAAATTGGACATAGAGTTTTGAATTGTCAAAAGCTGGGTATCTACTCGCCGCGTAGATTGATGGTCTCATGCGTCTTCTGTGTGACATACGTAGGGGAAACCGAAGATCACGCCAGGCTTTGAATCAATAAACTTGCTTTTCTCTATGGTTTTAATTTACATAAAATCACAAGGACCTGAAAATATGATCATTGGATGGGCTCTCGCAACCAGTGCAATGTTGCTCCTCTAATTTACCGCGTTACGTAAACTTTATTTTCGGAATCGAGGGAGTGCGTAGCAAGATTTCGTTTCATATTTTGACCAGCCAGCGATGATAAAACTTTACAAGCCGTTCAATCTGAAATTTTATAAAAGATTTAAAACTAGTTCTCGTTTTGATGAAAATACACTAGAATTTAGAACGCTCAAATGAACATGGTAGCCACCTTGAATTGTAGGCGTCTGGGGGTGATCATCATCTACGTGCTTTGACTTTTACGAATTTGTGTAAGAAGTGGACTTGTCAATTTGCGGCGCAGTATTCACTTATGTTCCCAAACCAATCCTCTCAGCACTACATTGAGGATAAATCTACTGAACTTCAAAGTGATAAATTCGCAGTTTGCATATTGAGAATATAATGATTGTATTAAGAATTCAGGCCCAGCACAGTTTTGGTATGCCGCCCGAAGGGAGAAGAAGGATTGAGCAATCACCGAATCGCCTGAGTCTGGACAGGACTAGTTGTGATGCCGAAGCTGGATTCGAAACACGGTCAGTAATTTCTAGCCCCAATAACTAAACTGTTATCCTGAGTTACTAAGCTAACTTGAACATCCGGAAGCAATTTTCTACAGCTAAAGTTTAACCTCGGTTTGAAGGTTTAGGGTGCTAGATGAAATATTATTACAAGTCCATAACTTCACTCACTCCAAACGCGTTCAATTATTCATTTATTCGTTGTCAGAACTCACAATTTGGCACGCTGAGATGAGTGTTATGGATATGGTCCGCATCCTCCTGGAAGTGCAGGGACCAGGTCTGAGCAAATTATCCTGGTTATGTTGTTGAAAAAATTTAAAAAACTTTGGGAAATATTTCCCCATCCTTCGAAACCGTCAGAAAATTCAGTGGAGAGGACGTGCTCCTGGTTTAATATTGGCCAGTCACATCAGAATCGCTGCTAATAACTATTTCGAGATCGTGTGCTAATTTGAAATGGGATGTTGGTAGACCCGTTCTAACTGGATTAAGCAATAATCTGACTGGAAACAAGACAACAAGATGCATTATATTTGTTTCCCACTGAACAATTTCAACACTCGAATCGTTCTCGATGTCTCGTGAAAAATGTGCTTGTGCGTAACTGACTAAGCATCACTGGGTTACTTACCCCGTTATCTGTATCCCTTGAGCAATATAATGATATGATTTCCACCTGAGTTGCGTTAATGTCCATCGTCCACCGATTTATGAACAGGCGCACGAAGTCTCGTACCAGATCAATGTGTGACCCTATTCCTGTTTGTGTAGGAGTTTGTCCTACGTGGTTAGCTCAGTTGTCTCGTTGGCGGAAATTTGCCAACTTGAGGTAGGCAAATTATAAGTTTCCACTCAAAACCTGCCCAACCCAGGATGCGTTTGAAGCCAATTGCACCACATATTCATACCAAATTTTTTTCCGGCCT